TAAGCACGCACATATGTGATTTAAAGCATTGCTGAAGCAAATGAATTTCTTTAGAAGAATTGACTGATTTAAGCCGTTTCAAAGTTCAAATTTGATTTTTGTTTTGATGCCTTCAAGGTGAATAGCTCATGACACGAGCACATGTGATGCTTTGATGCCAAAAGAAGATAGAAAATTCCCCCAATAAAATTTTCGACACACTTTTGACTAGATAACAACATTATTGCATCTAATAAAAACAATTTCTATTTCTGAAAACGGAATTCCATGGAAAAAATGTCAATCAGTTTTCAAGTACAACTAATCGACTTGTTCAAATTGATATTAATTGAATTTATCACCCCGTACTTGCGTCAATCGATTGAAGAAAACGAAGAAAACTTTACTGTTCACACGATTTTTATTATCATCAATGGGGAGAATAAACAAAAGGAATGAAAATACGCGTTTTTATTCAATTAAAACAGATGAAAATGGAAGCTGGAAGGAATTTTGTTGTGAACGATGAGCAAAGGAGGTATTCAGGAGCCGTTTTCTAGGGTTCCTTTGGGCAAACTACCATTAAATAGAAAATGCAACTGAAGGTGCAGAAAACCCTTCCATGACTCTTTTTCACCTCAACTTATTCATTAGCTTTGATGAGATTCCGATTTCGTCATAACCGAGGGGAAAACAACTTGATGGGAAAATCACTATGTTTATTAATCTTGCTGATATCCCAACACAGAGTAGGGAATACATCTCTGACACAAGACATTCCATTCAGAAAAATAAGAAGTAACAAATGCGATATACAATTCATTGAATATTTATTTACATGTGGAAGGATATTTACTTAGTTGTTACTCAGTTAAGTGCGCATTAAGTTTTTATAAGTTTAAATTTCAAGTGCTTTTATAAAACTTAATCAATAACTGTGATAAATTTTTTATTGATGCTGTATTTAAATCAGAAGATATTTTTAATAAAGAAAATAAATGATTTTCTTTTCTGGCGGGGTAGATACAGGCACAGAATCTGCATCACAAATTATTTGACATTTTTCTCCGAAGGATTTTGACTTTTGAAGGTTAATTTTGCATTTTTCGTGGACAATATAAAAACAATTAATATCAACAATCTAACATCAATAAAGCAGCATACAACAAAGCCGCATATTATTCATAAACATTTTTCATTAAATTCAATGATTATCAATTAAATTATCTCATTGAGATTTATTTGCAAATGCGGAATTTTTGAAAAATTCATTTATTAATTGAACAAACAGACTCTGACTTTCACAGTGATAACTGCTCCGTCCTATGTCTAATTTATATTTTATTTATAGAACAGAACATTTTTGTTTATTTTTAGAATCCAATTAAAATTTCAATTTCTTAAATGAATAAAATTAAAAAAGAATTTAATTCAGAGTTGGAAACAGAATGTAGAAGGTTTTATGTGGTAAACTGTGATAGGGAAGTCAAAACTTAAGCTTAGGAAACTACTATTAGGGCCTATACACAACATTCAACACAGTTGATTACTAGTTTTACTGCTAGCTTAATAAAAATAGCTATTATAATGTCATTTGTGTTTTTTTATGAGTTTTTATGTAGTTTTGATGGTTCTGAACCTAAACATTGACGCTTCAAAGCAAGTCTGGTGCTATCTAGCATTAACCCTTTCCTAGGAACAACAATCCATTGAATGCATCATATTGCTTATATAATAATTGGCTGTGACTAGTAGGGAACCATAGATAGCCGTAGAAATCAGCCCCTTAAAGGGACTCTGTCTCCACACCTCCTTAAAAATCCTTTAAAATTTAATTTCCTATAAAATAATTTTCCTTAATTGCCCAACATTAATTATGACATGATATAAACGATTTTATATTTTTATCAGTCCAAAAGGAAAATAGCGAGAGAAAAAAAGGATTAATGGCGATCAATTAAATAAATTTAGCGAGCTACATTAAAATTCAGTGGCACTTAAATTGAAAATTTTTTCTCAACCTGTAAGTTTTTATTATTTGCGATTTAAGTTTAAATGAGCAGATTTTATCGGGAAATTTATTGAAAAAATTAAGAAATGGCTTTTAAATGATTATGAACGAAACTTGATGGAATTGATTTTGTGAAGATTTAGGAAATTAAATAGCTTTTTGCTTGAAATTTTCAAATAGAAATCTAAAATCAAATAAAATTGATCATTTCAACATCATTTAACTTTAAAAGTGCAATTCTGGGCTACAGACACCCTTTCTTAATTACAGGACGATCCTTAATCGAGTTAATTCCAAGTTCAATGTAACTCTGCCAAAATCTGAATCAAAAAGACTTTGAACTTCCCTCATTTTCTCTAATTTACCATTTACATCCAAACTAGAAATAGAAATTTTCATCTTAATTGTCTATTAATTAGCTGCTTCTGTATTTTAACATAAAGAACTTTCCTTTGAGCATTTCAAGCACGTGTTTAATCGATTTTGATTTTGCTGTCTAAACGGAAAATTGTTCACTCTTTTATAAAATCGTGAGAAGATTATTATCGCAAATAGCACGAAAATGCTACAATAATGAGAAAATATTTATGTATGTTTAACGTGCTGCTATCATTTTCTCTCTATCCAAATTGACTCACGATAGCAAAAGCTGCTTTCATTTGATACATATTTTGTAATAATCATAATTATTTGCTGTCAACACAAGTGAAATAGTTGGTAATGAAACTTTTGTGTCTTGATAATGAGATGTTATGGCTTTGCTGCGCCTGTGGCTTGAAAAAATTCATGAATTTTCATTTTTTTATTTGAATTTGATACTTTTGCTTTGGTTAATTTGTCTTTTATGGAGCTTTTTCTGCATATCTAGATGCTGCATGCTTTGGTTTTTAATAAAACGTCTATTAGAATTTTGAATTATCGCGATTTTTTTGTGCTGATTTGTTTTCAAAAATTTTCAAGAAAAATTGAATTTTGTGAATTTTGGATTATTTTGTTTGCATTATTGCGGACAATATAATGTTTTTAGCTTTGCTCACATTCAATTTATAGTTTACAGTAACTTTAATGCCAAATAATTGTCAAGTTAAGCAAGAATTTGAGTAAAAAATCTTGAAGTGTAGCAAAAATTTTAAATGCGCTCAATAAGCATTCTATTCCTAACCAAACAAATTTTCATCACAAATTCTTCTCATTCACATCTCGTAACCATTCGGAATAGCCATATGTGAATGCTGAAAAAAGCAAATATTTAGATTTGCTAAACGGAATGAAACTTTTTTTGCATTTAAATTTTTTCTTTACTTTTGTGTGAAATGAATGACAAATGTTTGGATGCCGACTATACAAAAGCAAAAAAAAAATATACAAATGAGTTTATTCAACCTTTATGGGTTTGAAAATAAAAATCTAGAACATTCGACATTGCTATTAATAATAATAAATTGATTGTTGGAATAGCTGAATGTGGGTTCTTTATAAATTTATGATTTATTGGTTATAGAATTAGACCTAGTAAGATGATTTTTATTTTTGCTGAGATTCTGGGTCAGTGGTTCTCAAACTAGGTATCGCAGTAAAATTCAAATTTTTCATGTGCTAAGTCGAATAATTTACAAAATGGCGGATTTTAAATTAAAAATAGAAAAAAATTAAGAAGCTCTGCACTAGACGCATCAAATTTGAACCCTCCAGACTAAATTTGATATCATTGTTCTTAACAGACATCAAACTAAATAATTCAATCGTTGTCGCTTACATAAAGTATGTCTCGTACGCGTAGCAAACATTTTATGTATGTCACAACTCATAAAACATCCAAATCTTCATAAGAGGAAATGAAAGCTTGCAATTTTCGAGGATAAAACTCTATCGCTGAAATAATATCAGAAAGTTCTTAAAGTTCATAAAAAGCTTTTCTGTTTTGGAAGCAAAACAAAAGTTTTTCCTCTGTTGTTGCTCATAAAAAAAGTTTTCGTCGAATTAAATCGTGCGAAATTTAGCTCCAAAAATATCGTAAAAGTTACTCTTGGCTTTATTGTTTTTTCTGAGAAATTAATTTGAAGGGCGATGATTTTATTTTGAAGGAAAAATGTTCATATTTTGGTACGAAAAGTGATTTAAGGATTGCAAAACTTTTAAATTCACAATTTTATGGCTGTAAATCATTAAACTTTCGAGCTGTTAATTCCAGTTTTGCAAGCTATTCAACCCCCTATTAACAATTAAGTAATAAAAGCGGCAATGGAAATTTGAGACTCAAGAAAAAGTTTTTTTAAAAGAAATAAAAATTCAGAAGAAAATTTAAAACTTTTTTTACGCTCTTCAAGTCATCAAGGAATTTGAGAATTGTTTCAGGGCTTGTGTAAATTGACTTTTTTCAAAATGCTTGATTGTTTTAGTTTAAGGATCTGAAAAAAGGTTAAGTTGTTGGTTTCTAAGTGATTTAATAGAGTTTTCTTATTTTCGAACCATTTGAAATTATTTTCGAATTTTTCTTATTCAATATATCGCAATGTTTTGATTTAAGTAACCTTGGCATCAGCATGTTTGATAAATTCATAATAGATTCCAATTCTTATCACATTCGATAATGAAACCGAAAATTATGATAAAAAGAAGAAGAATTTATTGATTTTTTTACGTAAATGCTTTATCGCACAATTCAAATCAGAATTTTTAATGAATGGAAATTTTTGAAACGTCGGTTTTTGTCAAACACATTCATTAGAAATTTCAGCAGTAAGTGTGTTGTGCCTTTTTTTATCAAGAGTGAGGTTGAAATCGGTAGTTTAAATGACAGGAATACAAACTTACACCTTAATACATCTCTAACCAACCTTATCCTGTAATCTCTCCACATTCTGTTCAATATTTCATTTACAAATGCTCAGTACTGTTCACTGTTCATTAGCCTGAATGTCTGACTACTATTTTGCATAACAAAACAATTTAAATTTCAAAAAGACCAATTTTAATGATTTGAATTTCAATTATCTCATTCTATTTTCAGGTTGCCATTAAAATAATAGACAAAACACAACTCGATGCCGGCAATCTACAGAAAGTGTATCGTGAAGTTGAAATAATGAAGCGCTTGGATCATCCGCACATAATAAAATTGTATCAGGTAAGATAATTTATCACAAGATATGTACATTAAGTGAATTGATATTAAGCTTGTGTGTGTGTGTGTGTCTGAGAGACACAACGGAGCGAGAAAAATTTTTTCAACATTTTTCAATTGACGTCAAACGGCAATGCCAGCTTTTCACTGTGTTTGTATTATTAATCTTTATTTTCATTTTTATCATTTTTAATAAATTATGGAAAACACGACTCGTGCTCGGATCCAGTGTAAATATTGAAGCTGAGCTTCACAGCTCCTAATTTATACGGCTTCATATTTATTAATGAGTGATATAAACAATCATTACTCGACTATTTACACTTATTCATAGTTGGGAATTGAGGTCGTTTTTGAAGGTAGAACAAGTGGTATGATACGGAAAAAAATTTCATGATTCATCATTAAATATTGTCTTAAAATTGTCGTCAATTGCAATTAGGTTATTTATAATGAAAATAAGTACAAGAATTGCGTAGTTTCACACCCTTTAGTATCGATTTTTTTAGATTTCATAGTTTTATACTCTTTGGAATGTAGAATTGTGTAGTTTAACACCCCTTTGAATATAAGATTGTGTGCTTCTGCAACTTTAAAGCTTGATAATGCTAAGTTTCACACCCCTAAAGCTTCAAAATCGACTGATTTGTTCATGGCAACTCTTTTTTCCTTCGAAATAAGCATCTTAGTTTTTTCATCATTATAATCCACCATACTACCCAAAAACTATCGATTTTTCCTCATAATCAGCTTCTTCTAGCCATTTCATACTACATGTTCTATAAGTGATTCTTATGTAAAGAATTTATAACTCAATTTTTTCCACATGATGAATCACAAATCTCATAAAAAATTCGATCTACATTCAATGCCAATTGAAGCAGAAAATTAAGAAATTAATACGATGACTACGTTCTTATCCATATAATGTGAAGTTCTAAATGAGTAATGAAATAGTTCCTCATGAGGTAATAATACGTTTTATTTTTATTGATAAAATCCCAATCTATAAATAGCGAAAAAGAGGGGATTGTGGATGAAAGATATTTAAGGATAAGGATTAAAATTATTTATTGCCAAAGAAGAAGGAAAAATAAGCTAAAGAAATTTTTCTAGAATGTAAAAATATAAAGCATGACGCAAACAAACAGATTTGACAGTCCAAAGTGCTCATTTCAGAATTTCCGAGATATTCATCCACTCAACAGCTTATGAAACTTTTCCTCATAAATCATTCACATTGAACAACGAGCATCTACGTAAATATTATTGTTATTAATGCAGATGTGTGAAAAAAGTATCGAGTTACAATTTATGAAATGCATTGGGAATTTTCATTTCCTAGAAATGTTTGTAATATGATTCAGTCTGCTGAACACAATACGGTCATGATGCAAATGGATTAATGCATGTGATTTTAAACGTGAATTTTAATCTCTTAATCATGTGATTTGTTGAGTTTAGCTGTTAGCATTGATAGCTCTTATTAGTTGATTGCTAATGAGGAAAAGCAATCAATTGTGTATTGGAAATTCTAGCTAAGGATGCAAGTTTTAATTAATTGCCTTGTATTTGAAATTAACAGATTTTTGATATTCAAAATTTATACATTTAATGAATGTAGCTTCACACCCTTTTTGTTTACATTTTCGAAAGATAAATTGCAAAATTCTTTTAAAGTTTATATTAAATTATTACAGAATAATTTGATTCCTTATATCCAGTCTTTATCAAGCAGCAACAATCCAAAGTCAATTATGTTCAATAAATAATATGGAAAATACCATAAAAAATTTCAAAATTATCAATAATTCCAACAATATCAAGGCAATAACACCTATCAATCTTGTTTTCGACAGAATAGCATTCATAAATTCACAAATACATTGCAGCAACACAAATCGACACATGTCAATACTTTAGTTCCAACCAATATCTCAAAAGAGGTCACAATAGTCAGAAAGTTATGAAAATTTTCTTATTCCTGAAATGTGGATCAACATTAACAAATAATAGAGTGACTTTGAAAGCTTTTGATTCTTATGACAAGTCATTGATTAGACGACAGTCAAGGGAAATGTTTGCTTTAGTACTAGAAATTGTTTATGCATAATCTGTATGCCATTAAATTCCCATTAAAACTTCAAAGTTCCATTTCCACATTTTAAAATTTGCATTCAATTTGTACGTGACTACTCTACGAGACATTGCTACTGACCTACATAAGGAAGACGAGCGAAAGCAAATAAAATAAGGAAGAAAAAAGTTTTTCTATTGCAATCGAAGAATTTGTTTTCACACAAGTCAGGAAATGATGATTCCGTCTTTACGTTGTCTTCCTTACGAGATGTTTAAAATATGCGAAAATTTATTTTCCGTGAAATGGAATTGGATGAAAAACAATTGAAGTTTAAAAGTTGAATGGAGAATTTTTTTTAAGCTTTGATTTTAGTGATGCTGAGATTGTTTGTTGTGGTTCGATGTCTTTTGGTTAGCCTTTGTGTATTTATGGTCTTTTTTCAGGTTGTTTGGTGTTGTCTTTTTTTTTTATTGAGGTCAAATAACAAGGTAGCGTTTTGATTACAGACATATTTAGCTTAAAAACTGTGAATCTAGGCATTTGAATTGACAAACTTAAAGATCACTGATGTTATTGTTCATCAGATCTCGATACTTTGTTCTCTTTGGTATCAAAATTAGAAATTTCACTCATTCTGTCAACTTTTGAAGCCTTACACATTTTAGATTGATTATCAATTTCTCCAAACAAACATTTAACCTCTTTTTGCTTGATCTTGGCACCAAAACACGCTATAAAACCTCAATTGCAAACATTTTTATGTTCATTCTCTTCGTTTTCCTTCATTTGAGAAATTCGCTGATCTTGAAATCTTACTCAATAAGAAATAATCTTTTGTTGATGTAAAAAAGACGCACATGCTGATACTTTTTTTACGATTCTGTTTTGCTCACAGAAGATTTTGAAGATTTCTTTTTCTTTCGCCTGCCAATTGACATTTTCATTGTTGAATAAAATGCTTTAAAAGAAATCGTTAGACGCACGTGTTTTTATGTTGACCGTGTTAATTCTTTTGTGGTATTTCAACGTAACTTGCATATTAATTTAAAATTCGTTAACAACTTGTAGATAAGCTTGCAAAGTTATTATCGAAATGTAATTCAATACAGATTTGACTGTGATGGTAAAAATAAGTAAAGCGTCTCGACATGTAGTACCCAAAACTTCTTTCTTTACATCCCATGAACATTTTTTTTTGCATAAATCAACGTTTTTTTTTTAATTGATTCTCGGACGCGTTCAAAAAATTAAAAACAAAAATAAATGTTGAGGTGTTTAGGTGTCAACTCATGCATATAATTTGAAGGTAATTAGGTGATCGCGAACAGTCACGGTTCGTTTGGGGAAGTTTAATTTTTTGGTTGATGTGGTTGAATAATTATGGCACTTAGCTTGTTATAAATTTAAGTTCTCAATTATCAGATTTTCGCTTTTTATTGAATTTATTCATTCTGTTTTGTTAATATTTAGCAATTAGATTTATTTTATTAAATTAACGGAACTTGAAATTCAAATTAAAATTGTATTGCTATAAAAATACAAAGTTTGACACATTTTTGTGTAAACATATTTCGAAGAATGTATTCAATTAAATTTACTGATTCTTGTACATTAAAAACATTTAATTACTAGTTCCCAGCATAACAATAGCTACTTATTCAATCTAAAGTCAATTAATAGTTTATGTACCTGCTGTATACTGGAACTTACAGATTTACTTACCAGAACATTAATCATTTACTATATAAAATGACACCGCCATTTACTCCTATGTTGCATTATTGATTTCCACCTTAATGTCTGACGTAAGAACGTTTTGCGAATTAGCCGCAAAGTAAGTTCTGTTTCATACATCCACAAGGTCACATTATTTATAGACACGGTATTTAATTTGGCATAGCATTGTTAGTCATGTCTATTCTTATATAAGAAGCCATTTGACATTTCAAATTGTCAAATCATCCAATTTGTGAACTTTAATTCTACTAAAGGTTGACTTGTCAACTTATTGACAATGATTAGATAATTTTAGCAAGAAATCCACACAAAGTCAAACGCCTTTAACAAGATTATTTGACAATTGTCACGTTTTACTCGGTACGCTGTGTATTTGCTATCTGAGACTTTTATGTGCCAACCGCAAAAAGGTGCAAATTGGAATTCAAATGTAAGCAGTGAATTTAAATCAATTTACATAAAACTTACAAAATGAATCATACTTGAAATGAAAATTGGAATCATTTGCTTGTTAAGAAGATGAAGACGTTGAGATCATTATTAAATTCATTTTGTGTTGAAACATTCTCGAAGATTATTTCGTCAATCCATTCATCATTTTGTTCATTTAAAGACTTTATTGATTGAATAAAAGGTTGGAAATTTTATCGAGTTTACACTTTCTTTTAAACTTAATGATCTTGAATTCAAAAGCCGATCAAATCATTCATTAATCATTTCGAATTAAATTTTATTCTCAATTTTTTATAGAATGCGCTTAATTTGACCATTTCTTCGTGAGTTCCCCTTTTCCGTCTCATGACATTTTTCACTCTATTGCTTTTTAACAAGGTGTAGTGAGAAATTTATAGATTCATGCAGTCAGAAGGCGAATATTGAATTGGAGAGACTTGCTTGATCAATAAAGAAAAAAGAAAATTTGATTTCGTAGTTTAACACCCTGTTAAGGGGTATTAAGGGATATTAAGGGGAATCAACTATTGCTAAATATTTAACATTTTGATGTAGTTTCCCACCCCTTTTGAGTCTTAATATTGATATTTTGTATGGATTATAGAATGCAATAAACAGACAACCGGACTAAGCACACCCTAAACAACATTCGAAACCAAACCTCCAACAAATGAAACCCAAGAAGAAGGAGAAATGATAAAGAATTCAATAAATCATTAATTTATTTTCCGTTCTACTCATTTCATGCTTCCTTCCTCTTCCTTAACTTATTCGCTTCCTCAATTTTAATGAGATTTTCGCTATTGAACAATGACAATTGCCGAACTGATAAAGAACAAGAAATGCAACGTGAGAAGATTTTTAAGAATTAATGAATTTTCGAAGGTTGAGGTTGTGGCAGTGGAAGTAGCGTTTTTTATTTAAAATGTTGAATGTCAAGAGAATTGAGTTCATTAGTGGATTTTAATTCATTAAAAGTTTTTGAAATTGAATTAATAAGTCGTAATTTTGTTTGGGGTTTGATGAGAAAGTTCTCGTGTAGCTTTATTAGTCATTCAAGGCACAATGCTTAAATAAATATACGATAAAATTACGCAAAACTATCACGAATTAGTTGAAAGGAAAAGTTTTAATCTTAAACTTTCATTCAAGGTTCTTTTAATCCAGAACACAGCAAGCACGCAATCTTTAGGTCATGAATGCAAGACTTGACAGGGGTGCAGTGTGGACTAGTAGAGGACTAGTAAAAACTATCAAGAGCCTAACCCCTGACCATCTCCATTGTTCTGAACTCATATTTTAATATTTCAACTACGCAGTCTTGTCAACTGTCCACATGTTGATTTGTTGCACCTCATTTGAAATACTCAACTGCTTTATGTCAGGTTCATCTTCATTCAATTTAATATTCCTAGCCTGTCGTCGTCCATCTCAAATCTCCTTTTTCTACTTCTGACACAAAAATGACAATCCATTAATTTAAAAAAAAAGTATTAAATTTCATCATTGTCCATTAAATCGTGACACATTTACACAAACATTTGTTGAAGCTTTGGGTTCATTATAATCCACAGCGAAGAAGGAAGTTGCTTACAAATATGAAGAAGTTTAATAGCCGTAAAATTGTGTAAATCGGAAGTACAACGTTCACTTCATTATCATGAAATTGTTTTTCCATTGCCATTTCTATATTTACGACAACGATGCCATGAACATGACCTTCAATTCCAAAGCTAAATTCTTCGTACATTCTTATTGTATGTGCTGTTTTTTTACACATTTTTGTGTAATTGAATAGTCTTGTTAAAATGCTGGAATTGACTAGATGAACAGATAATAAGGCTTGGAATTGTCAAGTTTTGGGATTCGCACACACGACTTCTGATTGTTTATGATTAGATTTGATGTTCAAGATGACCAAACCTTAATTAACCTTGCTATAAAATCTGGCAGAATGCATTAGTTGAATAGTTTCTCGAACCTTTTAAGTTTTAAAAAGCCAGCCAAGAAGTATGAATATCAATGCAAACTTCATTCCATAAAACACATCTTGTAACATTTACAAGTTCATAGGTGGAAGTAGAAGCATAACAATCGTGTCAAAATACAAACGTTTCCTTCCAAAATTTATTGCACAATATTTCACATCACAAAACTCAAAAGCCTAAACTGACACAATGATTAATGACGAGAACTATAAATATAACAGCAAAAAATTCTTTCTATTTATATAAACTGTAGCCAATAAAGGCTGTATACATTTTTGTCTCATATGAATTGCAAATGAAAGATTTCAAAATTACAATGGTTTGTAGTGTTAAAGAGCTTCTTATTGATTAGCTGTTGGATATGATGAACACAAAAGGAAATTTTCTCAATGTCATTTTATTTGTCAACATGAAGCAGCCTTGACGATAATCACTGACATAAAATTTAGACTTGCTAAAGTTTCGAATTTTTTTTGCGCTTTTTATGCTTCATTCTAATTCTGACTTTGATCAAATGGAACTGATTTTACGGGTATTGGATTTAAACTGGTTTTAGTTTCGTTTTATGGAATTAGAATGTTAATTTTTGGTCTGGTGTTTTAAAACTCATTTAAATATGAGATTCAATCCTTCTAAGTATTATTAAAAGTTCTTTGATATTGCATCAGTCTTGTTCATCAACATACTAGAGAGATTGTATCTATTTCCAGTTATATCTGAACTTAAACTTAGTTCAAGATTGCTTTTCACTTGGAGCAGACATTTTAAGCTGCGTCAGAGCTTGTTAAGTTAATGGAAGTCAGGAACAAGGGCGTGGTACTGATGAAATGATCAAAATTGATCAACAATTATCAAAATTGTTCAAAAATGATAAAAATGTAATTCTTCAGTTCCACACGCTTGGTCAGGAAAACACATAAAGTCAGTCTTGATTCCTAAAAATTCAATTTCGTGCCATTATGCTTCAAAGTTTTCAAAACAAAACTAGTATCTTAATTTAATTAACTAAGTTCTAAACTTAAGACTAGCTAAGACTTTATTTTCCTTAAATCACAAGAACTGTGACTGAAACTCATGACCTCCCATAGCTATACAAACAATCCGTTTATCTCAATAAGACAAAAGACTTTTCACAAATCCTTTACCTGTCAACTCCAAACATCTGATGACTTTAATCCACTTTGATATGCACAACATCAAGAAGATCAAAGGTGACATACACCACAAGATACGGAAACAAAGAAGTCGATAAAAAAAACGAGTCACAAATTATGCAAATTATTCCAATTGATTGCTTATAAAGAATGAGACATCACGACTTCATTTCCATTTAAGTTACAAATAAACATTTCGAGTCGAGAAGAGAAAAATCAATTGCCCATAACATCGACTAGCTGATCACGCAAGCACACACTTTTCACATGATGTGAATGAATGTAAATGTAAATGAGAATTACTGTGTTTTGAAATGGAGAAGCAAGTCTGCTTATCGGAGATTTTGTGTATTTTTTTAGTGACGCACATGGACAGCACATAAAGAAAGAGAATAACGATTACACAATTGCACTTTAGATGATTTTGACCTTGATTGCGAATGTGATTTTTTTGTAAATAAGTCAAAAGAAGAAGAACATGCTTACTAATCCCCTTGAACTTGATGATATTTGAAGGCTTCTTTAAATCATTTAGCGGTATTGACTTATGAGCACATATTGTGTTTATTTTTAAGATATATTGAGTTTTTAATACTTAATGTGCAATTACTTCAGAATCTTTTGAGAAATGAACTATTTTATGGGATATTGAGATTAAAATAGACTAGATTGCATGTCTTGAATAGTTGATTACTTGGCAACGATATTGCTGATGTTATAGATATTGGATATGATTGAATGGAGTGTTGATTGCATTGATTTGGATGGAAAAGAATTCAATTGATTGTATAATCTGGATTTATTTACAATTTTGGTTTGGTTTTTGGATTTTTGTTGTGAATTTTTGAAATTGTTTCGTCAACTTTTCAGTTTCAAAAAGACAATTTTTCAAGGCGTGGACATTCAAAAATATGCTGGGATTTTTCATGATTATTGGGATTATTGAGTATCCACGCCTTGCAATTTTTAAGTTCCAAACTTTAAATTTTCCCCAAACTATAATAAAATCTCAAGTATAATACTCCACATAAAAATGCTGTACGTGCTAATTTCTTTGAACTGTTCAAATATTTGCTAAAACTTGCAGATAATAAAATTTATAGAACTAAATAAATTCTAGGTCATTGGAACAATATTTTTCGATAAAGAAATCGAGGATAAAAGCCACTTTTAATGTTGCGTTATTTATTTTATTTTTATCGTGATTTGCTCATTGATAAATGATGATTCCATTGTTACAAAATCAACGATTCAATTGTGGCAGGTGGAAAAAATTGATAAGCTATTGTGCTTCAAACGGAAATTGAGCGGAACTAAATTGTTAATACAAAGTGTTTTTCAGAACAAGCTCATTACCCTACTGCCTCGAAAAAAAAACAAATTTTGGTAATAAATCCTCAATTCTGTTAAATTTATTGAAACTATGTCAGCTGAAAAAAAAGATCCTTCAACGTTTCCAAAGCAAGTCTCCAATCATCTCGAAACAATGCATTTCATGTTATTAATAAAGTATAATGTATGTGAGCCATAAAATATGTTGTCTAACATAAGTCATACTACATGATGCATAGATATGACTTCATGGCATGTATTCTTATATGCTTAATAAGAACAAAAGTTCCACATTTTATATTATGCAACATTATACTTCCTTCCTTGCTAGTCTTCTTATCATTCGTCATACTTTACTGACTACATTGGAGAAAAGCTTCCAATGCAATTGTCGGAACTCCCTTGGATGTAAATTATGTGAAATGGCGAATGATAGCGAGATTAATGTGGTGCTGGTTCTTTAAGCTCATTTTGCTAGCAAAGTAAAGCAAGACTCAAGAATGCAAACCAAAAATCTGGTAAAATCGTAGGAAAGTCTCCCTAAAATCTACATCCAGCTGAATATCTAACAAAACCCAACCTAAGGATGGCAAGACAAAGAACAAAAAATGATATAAATTTGTAATATCGCATGATGCATACTGAATTTGATATTAGAACTTGTGCCAAACAAATGCAGATTGATGACGCTGAACAAAAGCTTTCCGTTTGTCTCTTTTTCTCACACAAGCTTTGTTGTGTTTTTATTCAGACACCGACCAGACATGACTTTTTTTTTTTGCATTTCCTACAAACAATTTTTATTTATTTCTATTCTCTCTTTTCTATTTTCATGTTGCTGTAGGTGATGGAAAGTCAAAGTATGATTTACATTGTCAGTGAATATGCTAGTCAAGGAGAAATTTTTGGTAAGTTGAAATGAATTTTTATCGCCTTAAAATGCAGATTGTTGATTCCTTTTTGTTCACATGTTTCTGAAGTTCCTTTATTGTCTGACATGCTGCATTTTCATGCATGATTTCTCCATAAAATTGGTTTATGTGGAAATAACAGAAATGGAATATTGAATATAGAATATGCAATGAATTTTAAATTGATGTCTTTGCAATATCCTGGCACTGACGAGTGCGAGAAGATTGCAATGCAATAAAGGATGTTTTATGTGAGATTGAGGAAGTAAAATGAGAATTTTAAGGAATCTTTGGAGTAGAATGAAATGTGCCAGAGGAACATATGAATAGAATAGCCTGATAAATCAGGCATTGAGAGTGATTATTATTCCACAAAGAGCTTGAGACCTTAGTACGGTTCCTATGGGTTGGTTTTAGGGCTACCCAGGATCCCAAACTCTTGTATCAAATCTCAAAAGCAACAGATAAATATAGTTAAACTGCGTCTAGGGTAGAGCAGCTTTTGTAGCTCTAGAAATTGATCTCAGAGCATGCAATCATTTGGTTAGGTCCAGGCGCGTGGCCAGGAGGGTCTTGTCCCCCTCTTATGCGTTTTAGCCCGTGCTCTCACTCCGGTCGAAAACGTTTAAGGGGGGGACAAGACCTTCCTGGCTACGCGCCTGGTTAAGGCCTATGAACATCTGAACATCTGAACAATCTAATGACACATACTTTATGGCTATTATGCCATTGCTCGGGCTGAATAATCCAACATAAATTATTCTCATTAAAAATTTACAGCAAAAAATCTCTAATCGCTGCTGTGACATCAAAAATCCATGAAAATTTATAGATTCGCATCCCAATTTAATTCTCAATTTATTTTCATTAATCTGCACTCGAAAATATATTTTTTTCAAAAATTTAATATTATATTTATTTTATCCTTTCTTCCAATGTCAATTATCTAGATTATATTGCAAAATATGGTAGACTGAACGAGCGGGCTGCAAGACACAAATTTTGGCAAATTTTATCTGCCGTAGAATACTGTCACGCTCAAAACATAGTACATAGGGACCTAAAGGTAAATGCACTCTCACATAAATTATACTTAAAAAAAAGTTGTCGTCGTCATGCTACTCTCGAGGCTGTAGTGGAGGATGCTTGAGGCTGAAAAAGGGAAGAAGAAAAAATTGATAAACAAAATTTTTCTCATTTTCCGTTTCCGCTTACTTGCATAGACATATTTTTTATTTCTTTATCTTTCTTTCAATTTTTCAGCATTTTTAATGTAAATTTATTACATTTTGGGGACTTTTTGGAAGCTCTACTGAGTTTATTTTTGGTGGTGCTCAATCCGTTTTTTCTTGATTGTTAAGTTGCTCTCATTTACATGAACTTTATGGGGCTTTTTGATATGTTTTTTAAGGATGACATACTCAGGGATGGTTAAATTGAGAAATGGAAGGAATTTTGTACTTTTGGAGGCATTGTTGAAGCTAGTTGCTTGGTTATCATTGAGTTTATAGTATTCTTCAAGTTTGTGACTTACGGGTATAGTCTAGTGATGCGTAAGGGAATGTCAAAGAGTTAAGATAAGGGTTAGGACAAGAATCAGTTTGAAGCTACATTCAGAGCAAACCATTGGCTAGGGAGAACGTTTTTAAGCAGTTCCGGAACTCTGCATTTATAAAGTCGGTTTCTAGGCTTCCTAAACGCTTGATATCTTGTGACTAAGACTTGATACTCAAGCTAGACCTAGAATCTAGCTTGTAAGAAACTTGTAAAAATCCCAACAAGCAACTCTGCCTTGATTCAAATTCTTTGAAGATAAATTTATATATTTTATGATACGCATGAAATAATGTTCAAAAATGATAGAGTCATATAAGGAAGATTGCTCTCGGTGATTCGTGTTGTTGTTGACTTTTTTATTTATTTATTCTTCATGCTTTATGACTGCTTTCGTCGCATAATTTGATTAGAAGAAAACTTTTGGGTGGAGTTTGAAAATTCACGTGGAAAAAAAATGTTAGAAAAATTGAAAATATTCACAAATTTGATACGGAAAATCAGCAATCTTCACAAGCAATTCCTTCTTTTAAAGTCCTTCTTGTTTGGTAAATTAAAGACACACTTTCAAGCAAACTTGTCTCATATCGGAAATTAATCTTAGAGGCAATAAAAGCTTAAAAAACTCCTCGAAAGTAGCCAAAAAGTAATATTCATCATGAACTTTTTTAATATTGAACCTAGTGACTTAAATCTACTAATGCTCCATATTTTTTTGTTCCTTAACAGGCTGAGAATCTGCTATTAGATTCAAATATGAACATAAAAATTGCCGATTTTGGATTTTCAAATTTTTACACACCTGGCGAATTGTTAGCCACTTGGTGTGGGAGTCCGCCATATGCAGCACCTGAAGTATTTGAAGGCAAGAAGTATACAGGTCCAGAAATTGACATTTGGGTAAGTAAAAAAAAAAGAAAAAAATCAAATTCACCGAAAAGACAAACAAGTTTTATTATAGTGGGATTCGAACCCAAGTCTTCTGAATGAAAGATGTTAACCATGATCATGGTATCTTGACTATTAAGTTCTTAAAGTAGCTTCAGTGTGTTTGGATAAAATGTAATCATAATATGCAGTTTTAACGTAGAATTGACTTCTATCTAAAGAGAATAGAGGTTTGGATGAGCCAAACCCATTTACAAAAGCATTCGAAACATTCCTCAAATTCCACAATCAAATCCAGAAGCTTCTTTTGTTTACCGAATTTTGTTATTAAAAATCATTAAAAATATTTTCAATCTGTGAATTTTTATTTTAAATAAACAAAACTTCTTTTCCTTATTCACATTCATACCTTTCATCATCCACTAAAAAAATCAAATAATTGCTTTGCATCCAATATTTACCTACTAAATATATTTCGTACAAATATTTATCAATGAAAATATTTTTGTGTGATGTTCAAAAAAGATTATAAGCTTCTAGTTCTCTTTCATTTGTGTGGCAATATGTGAAGTTGAAAATAAATAATATAAAAAATATAAAAGTTATAGAAATGTTTGGCAAACATGATTAGATTCTTAATACTATGATGCAAGTTTATTGGATACTCTGCAGAGCTCAGGATGAGATTAAGAAACATTTTCTTTAAAATTGTTTTGGGATTATCTAAATTTGAGAATGTTTAGTAATTTTCAAGTGCTTTTTCACTGTTCTAGCCACAAAGCTACATTTAAATAACACAGACAAGTTAAAATGCATCCCAATAATCACATTTCATAAATATGTATCCAAAAAAGACGTCCGGTTCTTTATTTCATTTAACAGACTCGAAATAAAATGTTTCGGCTTTTTTTAAAATTTAATTAAATTAACAGCGTCGATTTGCTCTAAAACTGCTGGGTTTTAAATCTCCGAGTATGAAAATTATATCCATACATTTTTAATGCCACAAAAGATAAAAACTTTCCGTTTCAGTTGTGCTGCAATTTATTCATTTCTATTCGGGGCCGTTCACTTATTACGTTACGCAAAAAACGACTTTTTTCACCCCCCCTCCCCCCTTTGTTACAATATATTACAACTCACAACCCCCCCCCCCCCCCTGAACGTTCATAATTTATTTTGTTACAAATTTTCAACCCCCCCCCCCCTTCCCCCTAAAATGCGAACGTAATAAGTGAACGGCCCCTTCGCGATAAATCCATTTAAATGTGTATAAAAAATATTTATTTTGATATAAAAAAAATTCGCAATCGCTGAGCAGCATCCGACGATTTTCTCACACTGAATTTTCTGCGTTTTGTTTATTGTCTTTCCACAAGTCTTTCTGTCTCACTCTAGCGTTACTTTCATACTATTTTTAACGTCAATGCGGTAAAAATACTTGTTTATCCTCTGTGAACTTTTATTTTTAAAACAAAAAAGTTTGTAAGGAAGTGATTCATGGTTTGTAGAATTAGAGGCGCATATATGTCAGCAGATTAATAACTGAATGCTCTTTCTGAGGCTGGAAATCGATTTTTGATTTAAATTTTTGTTTACAACCCGAGTAGCACAAGTCGGATAATCAAGATGAAATCCTATGCTAGGACGACGTGGTTACGATCTAAGGGCGAATTTCTCGTCATGACGAAAAATTTGCCCTAAAGTCGTCGTGATATCTTCCTTGCGTAGGATTTAGTCTCGATTATCCGACTTGTGCTCTCCGGGCAAAATTGAAATTTTGTATTTTTCCATAAGTTTTGCTTTTATAAAGGATTAAACTTATAAAGTTATTGATCTTTTGATGCTAAATGACAGATGATTACAAAAAAGAACATCCAGAGCCATGAAAATTAGTAAATTTTAACAAAATTAATTTTCGAAGCTTTTAAAATGAACTAAAGTCAAATGATTCAGGTCCAGAGGATGAGATCAAACCTTTCCCATTCCAATTGCAACAAATAAAAACCTTGCAAAATTTGATGAATAATTCGCATATTCGATTCTGGTGCAATGAACAGGAAATTAATCGTCTTTGAATTCTTCCCAGTAAATCAGCATTTAATATATCTCAATTTTCTCTCTCTTTTCATGTACAATTAATCAACAATGCAGTCTCTGGGTGTCGTATTATATGTACTAGTCTGCGGTGCACTGCCATTTGATGGATCAACACTACAGTCATTACGTGATAGAGTTTTATCAGGACGATTTCGAATTCCATTTTTTATGAGTTCAGGTGAGTCAAAAACACATGCTACATTTTTTTTATAATTGAGTCGTAATGATTTTTATGGCATAAAGTTAATTGCTGTTGCTGCTCTGTGACAATTTACCTTAATTTATATTTTCGGGTTTATTAATTCGTGGGAAAAATTATTTTATTAAATTTTTTTTTGGCGGTATTTAAATTTTTCTTATTTATTGTGGGATATTTAAGATGTCAAAAATGTCAGACGGTGTGCGTAAAAGCGAGAAGATTTGTAGGGAAATAATGTTGGCAATGACTTTGAATAGCACATTTTGAGGTATGATTCTATGTTTTTTGAGATGCTGATGCGAAGAGACATAATGTCAATTTTGGGCTTTTTGTTGCCTAGTAACTTGTTGACGAATCTGCAAGTTCCATGGGAGGCCTTCTGTAGCCGAAAGGATTAGCTATAAAGTTTAATACTGTAACCATTTGTTTTATTTGAGTCTGGGTTCGATTCCAATCAAAAACCGACCGACAAACCATCTTTGAGGATACTGCCATATAACAAACTGATATCGAGCACTTTAAAATCTTAAATTGCTTAAAATTTAAGCTTTTAAATCAATTTTAAAGCTTCAATAATAAATCATCAAATTTCATCATTCAAATTCTTCAAAAATTTACATGATTTTACCATAAAAATTTCATAAATACCAACATAATCAGCTAAATTTACATACCCGAAATTTTATAAAGCAATCAGCCATTGAAAGCGTTTTTATGTATTTAAATCAAATTTATTCACGAAATTGCAAATTCTTTTTCTTAACAAAAAAAAAAAAAAATTCATCGTCGCATCAAAAAATTATTTAATAGCCAATATCTCATGTCATCAACATATACTCGAGAATTTCACATCATCAATGATTTATGAGAGACGATTTCCTTTCAAAATAATATTATTGCCACTTCGTGATGTTGTTGATGCCTAAGAGTTTTCGTCGCACACACATACAAAGCGTATGTTTATGTTCAAAACAATGAGATTGGCATTATGACTCATCTCATTCCATTGGGACTCATCTCATATTATATATTTAATTTTCTTACTCCTCCTTTTGTGTTTGTGTGCTTTATGGAGGATAAACAATAAGCAGATCGTGTGTCTGTGAAGTGATTTTGTCAGATTTTCGTTATGGTGACTGGAAACTTGAGTAGAACAAGTCAGTGGTGGTCATTTTATGGCATATCTAGAAACCTTTCCCAGCCAATCTATATCTTGATGTGTAGCTTTAGAGGAGGTATTGCGGATTCAGCAGCACAAAGCTTCTAAGACTTTATAATCTCGTAAAACTTAAAAATCTGACAAAATTCTCATCAAACTCTAACCTCTCACTTCATCATTTGCCATTCCTTAACTAAATTGCCAAAATTAAGCCCACATGCGATATTATAATCAGATGTGTAAGTGCGTACGTAAAAACAAAATTCAATTCCACCAAACCGTGACTATGCGCTTACTTCGCCACAAAGTAATCAAAATGAAAAAGCTATAGTAGTAGAAAATGTGAAAAAAATTTGTTTTGACGTCATTGTGGCCTGAAAAACTATGCGTGCTGGTTGGAAAAACATTTTCTCCGACGTCATTCCGAGGAATTTTAGCCGAAACTGTTTTTTTTTGCAATTTTTATATTTTTTTTTTCGAATGTTGTTTTACGTTTGCTCGCGGGTTTGAGTTATGAAGCTCGTATTATCGTAAAAAAAATGTTTTACATGAGCCGTGGTAATATATACATCCGAAAGTAATTCCTTTCTTTTTTTTTAATTCTTTCATCAACATAAAAAAATTTATCTCGACATTTTATTTTTGGGTCCATGTAAAAATCGGTGGTTGATGTCAAAATGAAAGTAAATTTGGTAAATGTTGTAACAGTGTGCGATCTGGGACTTAGAGTTAAATTCTAAACCTGAATTTTAAGGTTGTGTCGCTGCAATAAATTTTGTTTAAACAGTTTTTCAAGATTGTGTCTGTAAAATGTGTCACTAGAGCTAGTTGTTTGGTATATCCTAGAATAAACAAACCTATTTGATGCTACTCTTTAAATGGAAGCTATCTAAGACTTAGGATATACCGAGCAACTCAACGACTTTTTGTAGTGTCCATAATCTTGGTTGAAGCTCCTTCAAAATTCAAAATATTAGCAACAAACCAAATTTACATTCAAATGCTTGTAAATAACCATTTTAAAAATATTGGGGCCCGTCAAAAATAATAGGAATTTTAGTTTAACGGTTTAATAAAATTCAAAAATTTCTCATATTTTCGAGCAAAATTACCAAAACTTTAATCAGCTGAAAATCTAATTAATACTCGTGAATTTGTAACTTTAACTCTTTTAAAACACAAAATAAAACCTTAGAAACATACTATCGACATTTAAATATGAGTTTTATTACGTTTTAATTATGTTTTCAGCAATTTTCGAAAAAATAAAATTTTTTTGTTGACTAAAAACATACAAGAAAATTCAAAAAAATGATATTCGTTACAAGATTTTGAAACTTAAAGTGTTAATTTAAGTAACTTCCAATCTTTTTATTGATAAAAATGATAATTTGAATGAACAAATAGAAGAAATAGCACAATTTGGTACAGAAAAACTAAAATTTAAGCTGGGAATAAAGAAGTTATTAAAAAAAAAAAGTTATTAAAGGTTGTTTACACTCAAAATACCCTTTCCCGAAAATAATTATTGCCATAATTTGTAATATCAATTGATTGATATCCATAAGCAAATTCATAAAAATCAGTCTTAATGTCAAAGAGGATTAGAATTTAATTTATTCCAAAAATCTAGCATAAAATTTCTGATAAGCTTTCTTCCATTTCCTCAAAAATCTCAAAAAATACACAATAAAACGAATCTTGGGGCAGATATGAAGATTTTCTGAGGAACAATAACATTATCTGACTTTTTATTTCGTGTGTTAAAAGAAAAGATATCGAAATGGTTCACTTTTGTTATTAATATCAAGATTGAATCTGAATGGATGTAGAACTTTTATTGAAATGCTGAAATGGAAGGTTTGTGGGATTAGAAGGAAGCTTTAAGGGGTCTTTAGCTGAAAAGGAAATTTTGAGTTTTGCAATATTTCCTTTTAAATTCAATTTTATATAGATTTTTAGGTTAGGTTCTTGAAATGTTGTTCAAACATGTCACAACAAGCATAATCTGCAACATGTTCGTTGAGAACTTCCAGGTTTGAAGTTAAAACATTTCAATTTGGAAACCTTTGAAGCTTTTGATTCTATGTGTCACTCAGAGGAGTGCATTTTCATGTTATTAAGCTATAGAATCAAAGCTAGTCTACAGAATCAGTCAAGAGTCATTCAGTTATGAATTTCTGCAAGACTGCTGATTTCAAGCCTTAAATTTAATTTCGAATAATTCATCAATATTTCTTGATTGATGCACGTCTGAACAAAGGCACAGAATCTCTCATTATCTAAAAATTGAAATCCACAATCCTAGAAAAAGAAATTCCACTCTAGTCTCAATAAATATGTCTGATCAATCAACATAAAATTGTTTTACAATCTCATCACCAGAAATGCTCATCCTAATTTTTTTTTCTCGAGGCACAAACTTCTTGTCATGTTCTTTTTCTTCTCACAATTCCGTTTGTCTATAAAGTAAAAGGAAAAAAATTGTTGTCAGTAAAAAGAATCTAGAACATAAAAATTCAATCAGTACAAAGCGTTCTAGAAAATTGAATTACCAGATTTTTTATGAAAATTGTTTGAATTATTTTATTTGGAGCTTCTTGTTCCTTCTTTGCCAATTACTTGATTTTCATAAAAAATTGATCAAGTTTTTGAGGTTATAAGATAGAGCCTCATTTATTATAGAATTATTGGAGATCTGGATTCAATTTTTTTATGAATCATTAAAGAAGATTCTTAACATATAATCATTTATTGGATTGAACTGCTGTTTAAAGTAAATAGTCCATTTTTTGTATTGAAACTTTTCCAATTAACATTTCTTTGAAAAATTAATTTAAAGCTTGTTATTTCACTGCTGTAATTGCTATATAGTAAATGAAACTGTCTTGCTTCTTTTAATTAAGTTTGAAATCACCTAGATAAAGAATCAGAGCAGATATTTCAAAGAATTTAAGGGGCCGTTCACTTATTACGTTCGCATTTTAGGGGGGGGGGGGGTTGTGAGTTGTAACATATTGTAACAAGGGGGGAGGGGTGAAAAAAGTTTTATGCGTAACGTAATAAGTGAAAGGCCCCTAATGACTTTTGTTGAATTGTTTTCTTTTAAAGATGTTCAGTAAAAAATGTTCCTAAACACACTCATTCAAACATCAAAAATCCGTTAAAATTTTCAAATAAGAAAAATACGTTAAATTCATAAGTTCTCAATTTTTTTCATTTCATAAAGTTTTTTAATGCTCAACTATTACTTAAAACTTAGTTTCTATAATAAACAAACGGAACCAACCTAATCCAATTCAATCAACGCACACAATTTTCATCCCCACTCCTATGAATATTAATAAAGTTTCATAAAGCCAACAATAAAATTGGATTAAAATTCTCTTCACATCGCTTCCTCAATTTCTAATTTGATGCTCGATATTACATTAGTGACCCGATAGCTGCTTAGATACTGAAGAGTTTCCATTCAAGAAGCAAAATTGCCATCGGTGATAAAGGCCCTTTCATAACATTGAATATGAATTAATGGAATTTCAACAGCTTGCTTCATTCAATCAATGAATGTTTAGATTGTAAATAGAGAATAGGAAGTGGCTGTTAAAGCATAGACGTTTCTGTTGGAAGCGTATTTTAGCGTCTTTTTTGATTATTGAGATTTTTGATAAAAAATTATAATTTCATGAACTTTCATAAGCTGATTCTTGACTCAACATTAAACCTCCAATTTGCCATACAAAAATAAGCGTAAAAAATCTTCCAATCGTTGCTACACAGTATCAATTGAATGTGAAAAATGCTTTCTGTCTGTAAAAAT